GTTGGCCGCTGTCGGCAGACAGGCTACTGGGCTAGATGGACCTTTGGTCTGACCCAGGACGGCCATTATAATGTCAGGGCTCAGGGTCGGGGGTCTCATGACTAAGGGAGGGATATGATCAAGGTCTTTAAAATCCTGAATGGCCCGGAAGAAATTGAATAAAGAACTACTATTTACCCTTTCACACAATTACAAAAACCAGGGGTCAGCCGATGAAATTAATAAGCAGTAGGTTTAATACAAATGGAAATGCTTTTTCACACAATACACAATTACACTGTGAAATTTATTTTCATGGGATCTTGTGATGGCCAAAAAAGAATTAGATACATTCAGGTCCATCTATGTCAATTAACCAAGATGGCCAGGGATGCAATCCCATGTGTACGACAGTTTTAAACCTCTGCTTGCCAGAAGCCAAGAGAAGACAATAGGAGTAGACCTCTCCAAAATTGCCCTCTTTGCTACACTGAATTACTGGTATTGACAAGATACTGGGCTAGATGGACCATTGATTTGACCCGGTATGGCTGTTCTTATGTTCTCAGAGCACATGTGTAGAAGCGATTCAATATTTTCTTTGTTGCCCAGACCTACTCCCAGTATTAATGTCAAATAGAATATTTTAGCACAATTAAAACTCAAGAAATAGCTTTTATCCATTGAGGATTATTTTTGAAATTTGGTCTCCACTTTCTTTAACATGAAGCTAGCCAAGATCAATACCAACACAACTTCAGTACCAAGATTCCAAGGACAGAAGGGTCCACTGTGATCATCTAGTCTGACTTCTCATACAGCACAGGCCAAAGGACTTCCCTAAAATCACTGCTAGAATTTATTTATTTATTTTTATTTATTTATTTATTTTACACACACACACACACACACACACACACACACACACACACACACACACACACACACACACACACAAACACTGACTTACAAACTGCCAGGGACAGAGAATCCACTACAACCTCTGTACGTTGTTCGGATAGTTACTCTTACTTTTTTAAATTTACAATAAATTTCCAGTTTGAGTTTATCTAACCTCCCCTTACAGCTGTTGGATTGTGTTATACCTTTCCCTAGCAGACTGAGGAGCCCGTAATCAAACATTTATTTCCCTTGAGCCTATCATAAGGCAAGTTTTCTAAGTCTTTAAGCATTTTCATTGCTCTTTTTTAATCTTCTCCATGATTCTGCCACAGTTGCTAGAGAATGGTAACTATCTAGCCAGAATTTGCACTAGAGATTTTTAAAACACCAATAGGGCTTCCTTGAGGCACAGGGTATATTCAAGATAGAAAGCCTCATCCTTCAGTGCTCAGTCTCTCTATACGCCAGTGTAAAGAGGCAGGGAGAGAGGAATGAGAAGATGCACCCACACACTGAGAAAAGGAACTGACTACAATCCATGACAGAGAAGGAAAAAAACTGAGTTAGAGGAAATTAGGATTCATCCAGCGGAGGAAGCGACTTTACCAGACATGTACTTTCTTTTTAGTATTCACAAGGGATATAGAAATCAGAATATTTATGAAGATCAAAACAGTGAAGTTGCTACCTGTCACCGGAGGATTAATTAATGAAGCAATATTTGCTGGAGGAAGAAAGGTAATTTGCCATAAGGCAATGCATTTAATCAAAACATATGACTCCATTCTAATTATTTTTAAATCTCCATTCAGTCAGCAGGTCTTCACTGCATGTCATCAGGAAACAGGAAGCTAGCTACCTATTCAAGAGCCAACACATTTTCATATAGACATATTTATTCTTTTAAAGCTTTCCAAACCATGGGCCCTTAGTAGAGATCCCTGAGGCCACATGAAGATACCATTCTTGCATAGGCACTCAGTGACAACATCTCAGACAAGGTGGTTGCAGAAACACTGCTATGATTAATGTTCATTTTAAATTGAAGGTCTCAGTCAAATGACAGAAAACTCAGAAGTGACAGAAAGCAAACCAGCAACTATTGATTGATAACTGCTAAGCAGTAGTAATTACTTTGCCTCAGGCAATGTGACATTACATGTCCCCTATCGGTATATGCTTGGAAAAACAGCACAGTCTAAGAAATGTCTACAATTTTCATTTAACAGGACCTGCAGCTACTGAAAGATCAGACAAGAACAATCTTAAAAGTGAGCTTTAGGCACAAAAGAAAAAAAGTGAAAATAAAAACAGAGAGGAAAGAAAGGGGATACAGCAGACGAGAAGAGAGTGCAGAGGAAAGAAAGTAGAAGGTGGCAAACGAAATAAGTGATGTGATAGCAACACTGCAGACTAGTTGGGACTTTTTTGCTACCATGCAATCAAGTAATTCTGGTGCCATATTATCAAAATCCCATTTGCTTAACCCTTCTAGTGGTGCTTGAACCTGCTCTAAGAAGAATATCTGTTACCATGAGAGCTATACAGTAGATACCCTGTATTATATAGTCTTGCCCACACTACTTTTTCAGGAATTCTGGAGAAGTTCCTAGAAGCAGACTACAGATATGTATATGTTAGTGGTAGTACAGAGAAGACTAGGATTTCCACCTAAATATACAAAGCAAGGCATACTAACATTCCTTTTAAAAAATGTTTGCATTATTTTTATCACCATGTGAATGAATGTTGAGAAAACCATGGTAGACTATAGGTGTTTCAATGCAACTGAGCTGCCATCAGAGCTCCCATGTAGTTGCTCTCTGCCAACAGGTCAACGTAGTTAGACTACCCTCAACAAGAGGAGTGGTAATTATATCAGCAGGAGTGCATCTCCCGCCAAGATAGCACTGTCGGCACTGACGCATCTCTTGGTGTAACTTATGTCACTTGGGAAGGTGCTTTTTCAAATCCCTGAGCAACAGAAGTTACACTGACAGACATGTCAGTGTAGACATAGCCAGGGTAGGTATACTTCCTCCCAGAATTCTGTTCTATGGTAGCCCTTTTCTGTTGACCATTCCCCAGTATAGACCCAATTATGTCAGCATAGCTACCTCGGTTGGTGTGGTTTTTTTCACATCCCTGACCGATGAATCTGTATCAATACATTACAACCTCTCAGTCTAAGAGTCCCTAATCAGAGAAGCAGCTCTGTGCACTGCTGCTGTCCCTCCTCCCCAGCTGGGGGAATTTCAATGTGCAAAGCCTCTTCCCCTGAGGTTTCTGGAGCGGTGGGGAGAGCAGATCCACGTGTCCCCTGGGAGCGGGATGGAAGGTAAGCACCCACCCTCATCCCCACACCTCACAGCCCTCTCTCTGGCCCTGCAAAGTCTTTAATCAGCATATCCTGATTCCCAGGGTTGCCAGATTAAATAAATTCAAGTGTATAATTTTTTCAGTGTAGACCAGTCCTAAGTCACCTACTGCCCCTTTACTTTACCATGTTCACCCTCCCTTCTGATTCTGACACCTTACTATCTTCTTCTCCACACAGTCCTAGAATCACTGGGTTGGCAGAGACCTTAGGAGTCATCAAGTCCAACTCTCTGCCCAAAGCAGGACCAACCCCAATTGACTCATCCCGCCAGGGCTTGTCAAGTTGGGATTTAGGAATGAACATTCCATGACCTCCCTAGGAACCCGTTCCAGTGCTTCACCACCTTCCTAGTGAAATAGTTCTTCCTAATAGCCAGTCTAGACCTCCCCTACTGCAACGTGAGGTCATTGCTCCTTATTCTGCCATCCGTCACTACTGAGAACAGCCTCTCTCCGTCCTCTTTGCAATCCCCCTTCAGGTAGTTGAAAGCTGCTATTAAATCCCCTCTAATTTTTCTCTTCTGTAGGCTAAATAACTCAAATCTCTCAGCCTCTCCTCATAAGTCATGTGCTTCAGGCCCCTGATCATTTTACCTGCAGCTATTAAGACTTCAACAAGCACATTTATATCCAGTCTGACCTATTAGTTCTCCTTTATTTTAACCTTCAACATTCAAACTCTCACTTTCCAAAATGATCAAAATACTCTACTTTGTCATCAGTAAACAGGTCAACTAATAACGAATTGTTTGAGGAGTAGCAAAGTATAGTTGGCATGTATTTGTTTACCAAAAAGAAAAGCCCCAAAGCATATTTAACAACTGCACTACACTTACCTAATCCATGTTCCAGTCTGGTCAATCTCATGGTCATAGGATTTTAAAGATCGTAAATGTCATGATTTCAGCTATTTAAATCTGAAATTACATGTGCTGTATTTGTAGGGGTTCTGACCCAAAAAGAAGTTGATGGCTTGCAAGATTACTGTGTGCGGAGGGGGGCAATACTAGTACCCTTACTTCTGCACTGCTGCTGGCAGTGGGGCTGCCTTTAGATCTGAGCAGCTGGAGAGTGGTGGCTGCTGGCCAAGAGCTCAGCTCTGAAGGCAGAGCCATTGCCAGCAGCAGCCCAGGAGGATGGCATAGCGTGGAACTGCCCCCCCCCCTTACTTCTGTGGTGCTGTCTGCAGAGCTGGGCCCTCAGTCAGCAGCTGCCACTCTCCAGCCGCCTACTTCAAAAGGCAGTACAGAGGTAAGGGTGGTGATACCAATGGCCCTCCTAAAATAATTTTGCAACACCCCCCGCCCCATCCACCCAACTCCCTTTGGGTCAGGACCCCCAATTTGAGAAGCATGGGTCTCACCCATGAAATCTGTATACTATATGGTGAAAGCACACAAGACCAGATGTCACCCAGGGAGGAGGACACCAGTTTTCACAGTCTGTGATGCATTTTTCATAGCCATTAATTTGTTGGGCCCTATTAATAACTGTAAATTTTGTAAGTGCATCTCTCCTCTTTACATGCTGCTTGTATGTCCTCTTAGATTGCAAACTCTCTTGGGAAAGGACTGAACCTTTCTGTACATGTAGGCAGTGCCTAGCTAATTCTGGGAACAACTAGAATGAAAATAAAAATAAATAATGAACTATTATATTACATATGTGATTTAGGAATGACAAAAAATAAATGTAGGAAAATATTCTCCTAATTCTTGTGAAAAATATATGTAATTCCACTATCGTATTTAAACATGGAAACGTAGGTACTGACATACTGGATATAGCCAGTGGTCTATCTAGTCCAACAGCGTGTCTTTGAGAATGATCAACACCAGATAGCTTCAGAGAATGGTGCAGGAAAGTGCACATTAGATAGGTATCGGATACTTTGCCTCCAATGAATATCTTAACAAAGCCCCCCAAGAATAAGTAATTGGCTTAAACCCTAAAAACATGAGGTGTTTTTCTGAACCATTGAAAGTCTCTTGCATCACAACACCCACACTACATCACTTATTTTTGGACAGGTTATGTAAAAAAAAAAGATGTAAGCTAGCTCTTGGGTATCTATGTATCTTTCCTTGAGCCATAAATTATTGGTATTTTTAATCACCATTGATTGGTTATAAGAGGTAAAATATTCAAAGTACATAAATTAAATAGAAGAAATAGTAGTTTCAAGATGCACACAAACCATAAGTGTGTATACTAAGAGCAACCATTCAGAAAGTAAACAACTGAGGCAATACAAATAACAAATAACAATGCCCTACATACATGCATGCAGTCTTTTTCTTTCATCCCTCCAAGGCATTTTTCCATATAGAAAATAGGGATGGTGCATATTAATTACATAAAGATGTACATCCAATTAAATGTACTTTAAAATGGTACATAACTGGGCTGGGCCTTCAGAATTTGCTAATCTACTGTATTACTTTTCCAACAACCTATTTTACCTCCTATGGTTGTCTTCTCCCTGTGTAATGCACATGAATAATTAAAAGACATTCATTAAAGAAAACAGAGACAATACATATGAATCATTACCCTGAAGAGCTGGACTGGCTTCTCTCTGTTCATTGCTGTAATACTCATTACACAATGCAGCAAGGGCAGAGACTGCAGCTTCCTGAAATAAAATTGCAAGCATTAAAATGTATATTTAATGTAATATTTCTCTAAATATCTATGCTAATATTACAGTGTCCAGAGTTAGGATACTGGATTTAAAAAAATATAAGTAAATTCTGTATATTAATCCAAGGTACAATTGTTCCTTATACTATTCCCAATAATTACTGAAATCAGATTTTTGTTTTGATTAAACCTCTTGTACATTACCCTGTAGGAATAACTCTAAACCAGTGTATCTTTACAATTGTCAAGTTTTCTTAAGTCATTATGAATTATACCGATTACATAAATTCTGTACTAATAAATTACAGTGATTAAACTCTAAGAAATTATTATTGCCTTTTGTGGACCATATTTTGAGTTCACTTGAGAGTACCTGTACCTGGATATGTATGATACAGGAATCTTTTTCTCCCTTCAATAATCTATATTATTTCCAAATTCTGATGTAGCGACTGTATTTCTTTAAAAAATGTAAAATTAACTCAGAAATAACATTTAAGAAATATTTAAGGGTAAAAAAGATTAAAAAAATAGAAACCATATATACAACACAGGTTTTGTCCAGCAGCTCAATGTTGTTACATAATTTCAGTATAGAGCAGGGAGTAGTACAAGAATTTCCATACTTCTAGATGGCAGATCTTTGTGACGTGCAGCAAACCGTTCTAACACAGATACTGCTTGAGAAATATGGCAGCAGCTTCTCATAAAATTCACTGTACAGCTACATTCTTCAGCAAGCAATACAGCGATGACCAAAGTAATAATAAAGTTGAGTATATATACTCTTCATTCCCTAATAATAGTAATAATAATGACATTTTCATTACAACGTGGGTGTTTTCCACTGAAAATAAGGACTGGTAAGACAAGAATTTTCTCTGTCATCTCACAATTCTATCCTAAAAATATTTTAGAGATCCAGCAGATCAGATAATCTCTCTTAATTTAACTATCTTCTGTTGGTGGAAGGTACAAGCTTTTGAGCTTATACATTCAGGTCAAGAAGAACTCTGTGTAGTCTGTAAGCAAGTATATTCTGCCAACAGAAGTTAGTCCAATGATGACTTCACCACAACTGTCTCTCAAGTATCCCTGACCCAAAACTGCTGTAACACTGCAAATTTCTCACATACATAAGATTTTATCTCCATGCTAAGCCAGAAATTTTGAAAAAAGAATTGTATCTCTTTTTAAGATTAGTGATTATTCAAACTATATTAGCCAAGTATCTAGAACAGCGGTCACCAACCAGTAGATCAGGATCTACCAGTAGATCTTGGAGTCGCTGACAGGTGACCCTGACTAGTTTGGCTGGGGAGCTATCAGGTGCCGGCACTTCAGTTGCCCTTCCACCTGCTGTCATGCTGCTCCTGCCTAGAGCCTCAGAGCTGCCACCTGGGAGGCTCCTGCTTGCCCTGCAGAGTGTGAGAGAGAGAAGGGGGGGAGTGCTGATGTCAGGGTGTCCCTTCTCCCACCACTCCTGTACCCTGTCTCCACAGAGAGAGAAGGGGAAGGAGGGAGCTTGGCAATGCAAATCTCTGTCACTCTCACATACTGTGCATTCTCACAAACACGCACTGTCCTTCCTTCTCATTTCCTGACCCAACACGTCCATGGGGGGTTGTTACCATTTTTCCTGCTTGCAGAGTGGGTTAGTTTTAGTTTTTGACTGGTCTGTGCATTTCATAACTTTCATTTCTCTCTTATGCTTAAACTTAATCCTTTGCATAGTCAGTTCTAAAATGCCAAACCTGCCATCGTTGAAGTAATTATCCCTGTGGTAATTGTGCTCCTGGAAGTGGCTGGCATGTCCCTGCAGCCCGAGAAACTCAGAGCAGGGGGTCTCCACATGCTGCCCTTGCCTGCAGACACCCTCCTGCAGCTCCCATTGATCAATAATGGAGAACCATGGCCAGTGGAAGCTGTGGGGTTGGAGCATGTAGATGAAGGGCAGCACATGGAGCCATTGCTGTACATGCCAGCTGCTTTCAGGAGTGGTGCAGAGCCAGGCAGGACTAAACCTGCCTTAACTTTGCTGCTCCATCCCTGGGATTGCTATCTGGCTGCTCCCAGGGCAGGCGGGGAGGGGGCAGGGCTCAGGCCCCCAGCTCTGTGCTCCCCAAGCAAATGCCATTTCCCTAGCCCACTCCAGAACCCACCCCAACTCCCCACCTTCAAAGGGTTCCTTATCCTGCTTTCCTAATGCAGGAGCCAGGTCCATCCCTGGGGCAGCTGGTGTTGGCTGCCCAGCTGCTGCCTGGGTGGGATCCAGCCCACCATCCTGTGCTACCCAGGTAAATCTCTGCCCTATTGCCAAGTTCACTGGACATACCTTTCCACCTCCCTACCTTCAGCAGGTCCCATTCCCTGCCTTCCTAACGTAGGAGCCAGCCCCATCACTAGGGCAACCTGTGTTGGCTGTCTGGTCATTCCCATGGTGAGGGCAGGACTTGAACCCATCATCCTGTGCTCCCCAGGTGTATGTTCTAGCCCCATGTCCACTCCAGAACCCACCCCCACCTCCCTATCTTTAGAGAGTCCCTTATCCTGCTTTCCAAATGAAGGGTCTGCTCCATCCTTGGGACAGCCTGTGTTGGCTGTCCAGCCGCTCCCAGGGTGGGTGGAGGGAGAGGAGAGAAGGACTCTCAACCCTGCGTTCCCCAGGCAAATGCCCTATCCCCTAGTCCACTCCAGAACTTACTCCATCTCCCTACCTTCAGGATGCCCCCTCCCACACTTTATATCCCTTGGCCCAAGACCAGAGCCTGCAGCCCAATCCCCTACACCAGCTTGGTGAAAGTGAATGAGATTCGGGGAGGAAGGGGAATGGAGTGCGCAGGGTGAGGCCTTGGAGAAGGGGTGGAGCAGACGCAGGGTCTCAGAGAAGGGGGGGAAGGAATCCGGGCAGGGGTATTTGTGTTTGAGGTAGATCTTACATTGCACTTAAATTGAAAAAGTGATCTTGTGGTTAGAAAGGTTGGAGACCACTGCTCTGTATATACTACAGAAAAAGCAATCTCCTGGTATTAAGAGGAAAAGACAAATCTAGTGAAATGTCATCCTTTCTCCACTCATTGAGAAAGCAGGACAGATAGTTCAACACATCCTATCTACAACTATATGAATGACAACATTATATTACAATGCCACTACCATAATGATAATTGAGACATACAAAATAAAATAAAAATCAGCAAAGCAAGATAACTTCAAAGGCAATTATTAAATGGCAGAAGAAAGCAGATGTCAGCTTGAAGCAATTATGTCAGTAATTGTGTTACTTCACAAGCATTACACTCCTCAAATATGCTAATCTAAGACAGTATTATTGCCTTCTGTGGACCACATTCACTTGCCTATTAAAGGTGAAAAGCATCACCCAAAAGATGATTTTTGGAATTTTAGAAACTGGACCATTATAAGAAAGAACTCCTTTAGCCAATGAAAGAGGTGAACATTCAGTCTCACTCTTCCAGAAAAGAAAAGGAAACTTCACAAGGCAAAGCATTTCTGATAAACTTCACACAAGGCAATCCAGACAGTCAGGTTACACTATTCCACAGCAGCAGGAGACAGAATTCCAAAAAGGACAAAACAATTTGTCTTATTTGTCCTTTCAGCTCCACTGTTAATTTCTGGGGATTTTAGTTTTCCCATCCCACATCAGGAAGTGAGAACTTTTATTATAGCAAAGGGTACAATGCTGCTGAGAGCAACAAGAAAAATAGACCATCAAGAGTGCTTCCCTTCATGGACTTTGTTTAATAAAGCCAAAGAACACAGGATTACGGTACCTTTATTTGCTGTCTTGTAGTACTTGAAACAAGAGGCAGGCTTCTTAAACTGTCATTTATCAACCACTGCCAGCCCTCTGGAGCGGAAGAAAAAAATTCAATAAAGTATTAGTAACACTGTCTTAGGTGTACTGACATCTACTATAGTGATCAGCAATTAATTAAAGCTATTTATTTTTGTGATTCTTTCTAAAATAACTAAAGGTAGGAATTTCATTTCCCTCCCCCAAGAAACATAAGTTATACCATCTATGCACGGATCAGAAGAGTGCTATGTCAATGAAAGAGCTTCTCCCACCAAAATAGCTAAAGCTTGAACCTCCCAGATCTGTCATCCTTGGGATCTGACCAGTCCCAGACAAGGAATTTTGCTGGACTAGGGGAGGTCTTATCTTGCCCCCCTGATACCAGCCTCCTCCCACTTTCCACCAGCCTCACTGTCCTGCAATATCATGCAGCCCAGCTCCCAGCGCACCAGGCTTCTGGTCCTCCCAGGCAGCCCAGCTGGGGTACTCCAGGCTCCTGAATGGCCGGGCAGCCCCGCTGCACCACACCAGCCTCCTGAACTGCTAGGCAGTCCCACTGTGGCATGCCAGGCTTCCGCAACTCCCTCCCACCAGCAGCCCAGCTATGGCAAAAGCCAGGCAGCCCAGCTGCGGGGAGCACAGCAACCAGCCCTCCAGTGGGTCCCTCTGGTTCTGGAATATCTGTGATCCTTCCAGCCCATGGAAGTTGCCGGGCCAGGGAGTCCCAGTTTACAGAGGTTCAGCCTATACCACCTCTAGAGGAGCTGGACTTATTATGCGGACAGGAGAGCTTTCTCCCATCAGCATAGAGTAGCTTCACCAGACATACTACAGCGGTGAAGCTGTGCCAACGCAGCCCTTCTACCTTAACTCACTAACACCTTACCAAAACTTAGTTCGTTTCTTTGAATAACATTACTGGCTCGCACTGTGTAACCTTTGTGAATATAATTACAGGCAGTCCCCGGGTTACATGGATCCGACTTACATCGAATCCCTACTTACAAACGGGGTGAGGCAACCCCACACTAGCTGCTTCCCCCCAGCAGACCAGGGAGACGTGGAGCGGCTTTTCTCAGTAGACACCTCAGCTTGAGAATAAAGGACTGAGGGAAGTGAGGTGTGGGAGAATAAAACTGAGCTCTGGAGAAATGTTTGGCTAGAGTTTCCCCTACAGTATGTACCAGTTCCAACTTACATACAAATTCAACTAAGAACAAACTTACAGTCCCTATCTTGTACGTAACCCGGGGACTGCCTGTAGTATGATGCTATAATATAAAACCATTGAAAGTATCACGTACCGATTATGCGATCCTCTCTAAATGGCATTTTTGAAAGTGACAACTTTTCAATTAAAGTGCAAACTGTAAAAAAAATGCAATTATATCATTGCAATAATTTGACAAAATGGAGCAATACAATTACTGATATTATATATACAGTTATAAAACATGCATTTGAAACAGAAAAGCAGAAAATGTTGCAAATAGAAATATTCTAACATTATATTTCAAAAATACAGATGTAACAAGGAAACAAGGAAACTGAAATGGAATTATGCTTGTGATTCCAGTATCAAAAAAGAACTTACGCTACAGTTAACCGAGATCTTCTGAGATATGCTAGTGTCACTGTAAGGTGCTTAGGCATGTGAGACCATATTTTATTTTTAATAGCAGTGCTGTTGGGGCCTTAAATGCACCCTGTGCCACCTCATGCAATGATATAAAGGGTGCAGTGGCCACAAAACTCCTCCAACTCCTCACAACTTAAAGCCCATCTTGGTTGAGGACTCCAAAACGTGGGGCTGGAGGATGGGCAATTGGATCCACATTGCTTCAATATCTTGGGGAACTACACCTGCCATACAGTAAGTGACTAGTCTTTCTTTGAGTACGTGTCAGTGTGGATCTCACTGTGGATGACTGACAAGCAAGATCCCCGTAGAACAGTGGGAAAGAAGGAGGAATTTCATTTGTATCAGTCCAACAGCGGTTATAGTACTTCTCTCTCCAAAGTGACAACTGAAGTAGCCATTAAAACCAAAGAGAAGTACTTGACAAAGGACAGGGGGGATTACTCTACATAGCCCCCGGCCAGACTTCTGATAACATATCTGAAGCAAGCGAAAGATTTTGCTTATCTTATAGTGGAGGGGGCCCCTTGATATTCAGTGGGAGAGGTACACCAACCAGCTAGTATCACAAAAGGTGGACTGTGTAATCTGTTTCCATATGCTGTGATGAGATGGCTAGACCCCTAGAACATCTGTCTAGGGCTAAAAAGATTGGAAACAATCTGAATCATTTCATCCTGTCAATATAATCCAGCGTGTGTGATTAGATTTCTCCCACCATCAAAAGAATGTCTTCAAAAGAAGGCAGGCAGGTTGATTATGTAGTTTAGGTGAACTTCTGAGACAACCATAGGAATGAGCTTCAGGTGGGATCTCAGCAACACCTTGTTCCTATCTAATACAAAGATCCTATCTAATACCATTTGGCTCTATCACTCTTCTGGATGAAATGACAGCCACTAGGAAGATCACCGAAGTAATCTGTGCTGCTGGAGTTCATGCCAACATGAATCACGTCTTCTTTCATGCCCTTCCTTTCACTTCTGGGCCCCAGAAGTAGGTGCCTGCTCAACAGAACACTAACTGATAACCCTCTCAGAGGTGATTTTTGTCTTAAGAGTCTGAAATGATGCCCATGGATTGATGCAATGTCAGTTGTATGTCCCTCTACTTGCAAATTCTCAAAGGTACACACACCAAACACCTATCCGGAGCGTGGCTTTCTCAACAGACAGAACAGGCATTGAATACGTGCACCAAATAGGGGGATGAATCCACTGCAGGCCAAGCAGGTTTTAAATCCTCAGAGTTTAGCGTTTGCTGTTATGGTTGATGAGAGGTTCCTCACTGCTGTGCTTTACAAAAAACCTTTCAAAATGAAATTAGGGGAGAGGGAAAGTAAAGATCATTTTCTTTAGCAAACCAGTAGAAAAAAGGATGAGTGACGGTTGGGAGGGAAGTTGCAACTCAGCCATTCACTGGATTCTGTCTCACCACCATATGCAGTGAGAGGAGAGTGAGGAAAAGTCACTGCCACTCTGCCTTTTATGGCCACATACAAAGGACTCTGCTCTACAGCTGAATCAGTCTCCCTCACGACACTACCCTGGTTCATCTCCAGAGTGGTTCTATCCTCTACAATGAATGAGGCAGGGTTCTATGCAAAAATACACTATGTGATCATGTAATTAACCACTGTCATAATGCATATGACACAAGGGACCAAAGTAAGGTAGCACAGACAACCTGAACACTAACTTTAATGTAGGTTGTGTAGGAGGTTGGTGGGTATGAATATATATTTGTGTGTGTGTGTGTGTGTGTGTGTGTGTGTGTGTGTGTGTGTGTGTGTGTGTGTGTGTGTGTGTGAGTGTGTGTGTGTGAGAGAATAAATTCAGCGTTGATATTGCAAGAAAATAACAGAATGCTGAGAAATGCAAAAGTTGAGGTAAACAGAATAAATTAACGAACATACATTTGTTATTTGAATTCAGTGAAAATAGCGTCAGCCACCTAACATGCAGTGGAATACCTACCAGCTGGTCTCATTAGTTCTCCACCTAAGCCCCTGAAAAAACAGAAACAAAAAAGTATTATTTTCAGATTATCAATTACTGCATACAATTAGGTATGCTGTTTACTAAAACACAAGAAGCTTTCAGATGAAAAGTAGCTATAGAAGTTCAACACGTAATACTCAAATCTTTCCATGATTAAGTTTGTAATCCCTCCAATAATTTATGTGACCAACTCCCAAACAGCACTGTACCAACTACTGCTTTAATTCACTGCAAATGCTCCATACAAAACCTTATTGTGCACTCCATTTTTTCTTTTCCAAAGAACACAGGCCTAACTTCTCTAATCCCATTTGAAAAATTAAAGGCGCTCAGGTCCATGAGTGTCTCTGATAACCTCACTTTAGAAGTACTATGGCCCTATGATTTTTTCTTCTGTCTCAGAAAATAAAGCTTCAAAGCCACTTTGCTCAGTATTATTTGTTAATAGAAAAACAAAGAGTAAAGCTTTAAACTATAGATACATGCCTTCTACACAGGATGGATTTATGCAAGAGTTCTCCAACAAACCACTTCACAAAAATTACACTCATGGTCCAGGTGATGCAGATCTGCTTACAGTTTTTCTCCATAATTTATAGATTTGCAGATGCTTCAAATGGTAGAAATCTTGTGAGTTTGAACTGCTGTTCCTCATAACCATTGCCTCCAATGGAAGGGCAATCAATTCATTATTCTGCATTTCACTAAACCATCACAAGATAGCAACACACTTTTATTTTGAAGGTTACTATATTGTTGGTGCTTCTTACACACACACACACACACACACACACACCAAGTTTCATGATCTACCTGAAATGTGCTTCCTTCAAGAATTATACAGGGTTGAGGAGGAACCTATGGTCCATGTACTGTCTGGATCCAGCCCATGAGTGAGGCTCAGGGCTCAACCCCCTCACCCCGCAGCAGGAAGCCAGTGCTGGCACTCAAGCTAGGATTGCCAGATGGTTTATCCAAAAATATCGAACACCCTTCCCCCCCCCCCCCAAAAAAAAGCCAACAACAACAACACTGTCATAGGGTTGCCAGGTGTCCGGTATTTTCGCCTCCTGGCAGGCAAAAAAAAAAAAAATCAGAAAATACCAGACATTTTAGGTGTCCGGTATTTTCTGATTTTTTTTTTTTTTTTAACCAGACAGGAGGCAAAAATACCAGACTGTCCGGGTCAATACCGGACACCTGGCAACCCTAACTTCAGCCCTGTAGCTCCTCTATGTGGGTGGAGTGCCAGTTCCAACTGCACGGCATGTTGGGGGGAGACACCAACGCTCATGAGCAGTGTTCCCTGGAAGCTAGGCACTTGGGCAGCTGCTCAGGAGAGATTAAAATGCCGCTCAGCTGGTTAGCAAAGCGCCCACAGCTAGGTTCTAGTTTCTACTGGTGCTGCACATAGATGGAAAAGATTAGAGCAGGGGTGGGCAATAATTTTTAATGAGGGCCACTCAAAGATTTTGGCAAGTGGTCAAGTGTCGCATTTCTATAGAGGGGGTGCAGGGCCTGGGATGGAGGTTGGGTGCAGAAAGGAGTTTGGGATGGGGGCCTGGAGTGGAGGAGGGGATGAGGGATCTGACCATGTCTGGGTGAAGGAGGGGGTTGTGATCTGGGGCAAGGGCTTATGGTGCATGATCCAGGATGCGGTATGGGTGCAAGTGAGGATTCTGGCCAGGGGAGGGGCTCTAGAGAGCAGGGTCTGGGAGGGAGTTGTGACCTGGGAGAAGGGTTTGGGTGGTGGCCTGGGCCAGGCAGTTGGAAGGGAAAGGAGGAGTGGGGGGTCAGAGGCAGGCTCTGGCTGGGAGGTGCTTATCTAGGCGGCTCCCAGCCAGCAGCTCTGCAGGAATCCGAGGCAGACTGTCCGCCTCTCTGCTAAAGTCTAAGACATCTGGCTTCTCCATGTGGGCCTGCTCTGGGCATGGGGGAGAGCGGGAAGGGAAGGAGGCTTCACACCCTGTACCCAGCAAAAGGTCTCAGCTCCTATTGGCCAGAAGCCAGCCAATGGGAGAGGAGAGATTTTGCTGGGGAGCAGGGGCAGCACATGAAGCCCCCCTTCTCCCTCCTCAGCAATCTAGAACAGAGAGCAGCCCTGTTTAAAGCATGAGCTGCTCTCTGCCTAAGGGTTTTGGCGAGGCAACTGCAGGCCAGATCCAGGGGCTTGGTGGGCCAGATCCAGCCCCGCTGGCAGCCTCTTGCCCACCCCTGGATTAAAGGGAACATTGCCCGTAGGCCAGATCTGGGCAGTCCAAATCTGGTTTGCGGGCTCTGACCCTTTTCTTCACACATTTCCCTCCTGCCCAGACCTTGCCCCATACGTCCCACCCAGATTCCCCACACCCCAGCCCACTCCTGCACCCTTCCTCCTGCCCCGACACTGTACTCCCATCCCATTCCTGCACTCTACCTCCCTCCTAAACCCCATCACACCCCAGGCTGCTGGATGGATCTATCTCCCACCCACCCATTCCCAGTCTACTCCGGTACCCTCCCTCCTACACACTGAACTGCTCATTTTTGGCCTCCCCGCTCCCACCCTGAGCCTAGGCGGGGCCTCACTAAATATAATAGCCCTGATCTGCCAGAAGAGTTGATCTGGCCTGGGCGAAGCCTTGAACCTCAGTCCTCCCTCTTCCTCCCAACCTCTGCTCTGTGGGGCTGCAGCATGAGGGGAGTCAGGTGTCTTAGATGGGGGCCACATCAGGGAGGGTTGGTTTCGGGTAGCCCCCGAAGGCTTTTTCTTTTGGTCAGTGGCTGGGGG